ACACAGGCACACAGGCACACAGGCACACAGGCACACAGGCACACAGGCACACAGGCACACAGGCACGGCTCCCTCCGCCCAGCACCCGGTTTCCTCACATCCCGGAAGAGGCCGCAGTTCGGCCCCGTGGTTTCCAACACGCCGTGCACGCAGCGCGCACCTCCCACACCATGTCCCGCATCCTCCGGCTTCCGCGATCGGCGCAGGCCCGCCGTCCCCTGCCCTGCCCTTGCCCTTCCCCTGCCCTGCCCTGCCGCCGCTCACCGTTTCCCTGCCCGCCGCGCTCCTGCGCTGCTGCTTCGCATCGAAGGCGGCACCCACGGGGCACCAGCTGGTGCTGACGGCCCGCCGTCCCGGCGCCCCGGCCGCCCGGCCCCGCAGCGCAAGGCCCAGCGCCGTAGGCAGCGCTCGCCGGCAGCCGGCCAGCATGGCGGAGCGCGTTAACGCCGGCGAGGCGCCCGGGAGCTCGGCTCCGGGCACGACCGCGACCTCTGCGCGTTCCGGCCTGAGGCGAGGAGCGGCGCTCGCGAGCGGGAAGCGGAGCGGGAAGCGGCGCCTCCCCTCAGCCCGGTCGGCCCCGCGCTGCCTCCCCGCGGCCGTGCGTTGGAGCTGACGAGAGCGGCTTAGGACGCCGGACTGGGTCAAGGAGGAGTTCAACGCTCTTTGGATTTATGCCGTTTCTGTCGTCTCGATCCGTGTTTCAACAGATGGGCATGAGAACTGTTTGTTTTCTGCTATATTCAGATGGAATTGGCCAGCGGAAACTTTATTGGGGTGTACTGAGGGACACAGGCATATGGCATTAATGGATGGAACAAACAAAACATGAGACAGGAAATAAAATAAGGATTAATCTCTAAAAAAAAAAAAAGAAAAAAAGAAAAGCAAGGAAAAGTACTAAGTAAACCAGCATCGAGTTTGCTTGCAGGCTGGATGTGGCTCTGGGCAGCCCGGTCTGGTGGTTGACAACCCTGCATATAGCAGGGGGGTTGGAAATAAATGATCACTGTAGTCATTTACAACCCAGGCCACTCTATGATTCTGAGTTTCATAAAGAACCTCCACCGCTTTGAACAGTAAGATTTGGGTGAGCAGAAATCAGACAACAATTCACTCAAGTCACAGATTAACAGCGTGGCTTCATGCTGTGAGTTCCGGCATCTCAGAGGTGCTGAACAGGAGGAACCCTGTGAAGGTGGTATCATCATCAGCATCTGCAAACAGCCCGTTGAAGCTCTCTCCTCGGTGAGCCTGCAGCCACACCTCATCTCCTGCCCGTAGCTGAAGGATGGCAGCTCCCGACGCCTGGTCCTCAGCACCCTGGTATCCATCCATGGTGTGCAACACCTTGATCCCATTTTTGACTAGAGCTACTCGGACATTCCTCGAGTAGACAGTGATATGGTAGGTGAAATAGTAAACACCAGAGAATTTGCAGGTGAATTTGCCGGTAACTGGGTTATAGTCACTTAGGCCATTATAAAGCACCTTGTCGAACTTGATTGGGTGACTGTGGGGAGGGAACTTGGTGGCAGCTGTAAGGCCTACACTGAAAGCACTCCTTGGCAAAACTGCTGTGGCACCTGTGTTTCCCTTGTCTCCTCTGTCTCCTTTCAAGCCTCTCTCCCCCTGAATTCCTGGACTGCCCGGTGGCCCCAGATCTCCAGTATTACCTTTAGGACCTGGATTACCAATGGGGCCAACTGGCCCTGGCAAACCAATTATTCCAGGATGTCCAATTTCACCCTTTGTCCCTTTTGGACCTATGGGCCCAATGTCTCCTTTTAACCCCTTTTGTCCTTGCAGTCCCAGCTCTCCCTTCTGACCTTTGTAACCCACTGACCCTATAATTCCTTTTGGTCCTAGTTTCCCAGGTCGTCCTCTTTCTCCTTTATCTCCTTTGTTCCCCTTCTCTTCAACAGTTCCATTGGCTCCTAAGTGGGAAAACCAAAAGGTCCAGTGGATTAGTGAGTCAAAACATGAGTTTCAGCACAAAAATGTATGTTTATGTCACCACTATATATACCGTGCTCACCACATGTACAGTGTTTCATACAAGTGAGTTCAGAATAAAACAGAAAAGCCTGCTATTACAATAGAAGACAGGGGCCTTTGCTGAAAGCAACAAAAATTAGCTCAAAGAAAGGAAGGTGTGATTAGTCTACAGGCTGCTGATAGCACTGACAGCTCAGATCATCTCATGTACAAACAGCATCTGTTCAGACCCATGTTCTCAGCCTTTGCTATATGTGAGGGAGACAGTTTGCAATTTCGTCAGAGAATCTACTACTTGAGCAACACACAGATCTTACTTGCCATGAGTTTATATAGTTCCTACATGATGGGATTTTGTTTGGGTTACCTAGATTGCTGTTGAATTGCAACTAAGCTTTTTGTATTGGTATTTGCTTTCACATGCTCCATTTATTCTTCATTCACACTTGGAATGAATCTCAAAGCTTTTGAAAATCCATCTGTACAAAGTTTTGCAGAGAAAAGCCTTATATTTTGAAAGGCACATTAGCAACTGATAGACATAAGTGCTAGAAGATGCCATAATGTCCATACACTCAATCAATCAAAGCCAGAGTCTGATCATTTCTGTGTGAAAGCTTGTGGCTTTTGGTATTGGGAATAATACTGTATGTAAAATGTGAACTTTACAGTTCTCAGCTCAGAGTTGAGAGTATTTGGCAGCAGCAACAAAGTAAAACCATGAAATTCTGTGGTTAGCCTCTTGGAAAAAAAGCACAACAGATCCAACAGGCCACTGACATGGGAAGAGAAGATAGCTCTGTAATGCTTAACATTTATGTTTTCGTGTCTCCCTCTCCTTCCTTCTAGTAGACTGAGGAAATGTCTGAGAGCTGTAGAGCAGCCTGTAATTACTCCCATGCAGTGCATATTCCATGGTGTATTTCAGAATAATCCTAAGGATTTTGGAGAACCTGGGTGCAGTATTTGGCAGATTTCAATGCTTTTGGAAATATAAATTGTCTATGCACGGTTACTCCAAAAGGTGCATAAGTCCAGCATCACCAAGTTTCCGAATTTGTGTTCCAACTTGCACAATGTCTCATTGCTTGCTTTTATTCACAGATCATCAGGAGACTTTCTAGATGTGTGTAGTTTGGCTAAGCATGTGGTGTAGCCATTTTCTATCGGCTTGGGCTGTTGGGATTATGGAAAAGTTTATGGTTGCTGTGATGAGATAGGAAAAGCATCACAAGAATATGGGAAATGGGATCTGAGGTGAAATGCTGGTTTTATAGAATGCATGGCAACTCTTGTCCTGTGGTCGCTGGGGGCTGCTTTAAGCCAGGATGCTGGGGCTAATGCCTCATGGGCATATATTTTAAAATACTACTGAAGATGCTGGCTTAACTCTGGGCTGTTTGCATGAGGTGTGATTACACAGAGGCATGGAAAAGGTGCAGGAGATTAGAATCGTGGAATTATCCCAATTAATCCCAAATTGGAAGGGACCCACCTGATTGATCTTATTGAATAACAGGATCTACTGTATTTTCAGGTGTACAATTCATGTCTTTTGTAATTCTTTTTGAAGTACCTTTGCCTGAAGGTACATACATGCCTATGGGAGCTTCAGTTTCCTTGGATAGCTACAGATGTGATGTCTGCCTCAGCAGCTGACAAAGGGATGAGCAATAGGAAAGGTGAAGTCATAGGCTGAGCAGATAAGTTATATGGCATCATCAGAGGCAGCAGGATGACTGGAGGGAGCAAATCTCTCTTGTACTGTCAGCCTCTACCCCTTCTGAAAAAAGGTTGCCATGGTTTTATGATTTTTGGTTATTGTATTCCACATCATAACATCATGTAGTGCACTAGGAGTTAAACTTTAACATTACATTGCTACAGCTAGAGTGTATAGCATGTCCAATGCTCATAAACCCATAGGCCACTAACAAATTGAAGTGCTCTGACCTTTTTGTCCTTTTTCTCCATTTGCACCATCTTTCCCTGGAGTGCCAGGAAGTCCTGCTTCCCCTAGTACAGAAGAAAAAAACAGATCTTCATTAAACAACTGTAGTACCAGAAAAAATGGGATTTGAATCCTTCTCTGATCATTCCTCTTCAAGTTTGGCTAAACAATAATGTAGTCATTTTATTCCTGACTTCCGGTGCATGCCACTGCTGAGGCTTTTATCTCATTGGGAGAACAGAAACTCTGCTTGGGAAGAGCACCTTTTTGAGACAGAGTTCTTAACATAAAGAAGGGGGATACTGAAGTATGTGGATGCTGGTCAACATCAATGAAGTGAAAACCTCTTGTCCTCTTGTTGCCTTCATCCATGGAAGATGACATGGAAGATACCAGCAGGAAAAGGAGTGAGGAAGCTACTTTCAGAAAAAAAGCATTACCCTAACAAAAAGCCTCAAAGTGAAACAGTGATTAACTGCCCCCAAAGAAAAGACATCTTAGTGTCGACCTGACTGTCAGTGGCTCAGAGCAGACAGTAAGCAGCAGGTAACTTTCTTACCCAAACTGTAAGTGCTGATTATTTTTCAGCTGATCTAATTTACTGTGTAGGCACACAAAGAGTTGTGGTGTACTGGAGAGGGGAGTGAAGGGGTGGCAACAAGATCGAGCAGAGGTTCCTGCCTGCACCATTATTGCCACCAAAGAAATGCAGTCAAATTACACCTTCAGCACTGATTGCAGCACTCACTTCCTGTGGAGGCACAGGTTTTCCTGGCAAAGAAAGTGATTCATTAGCTTTTGGGTTGTGACTGCACCAGTAACTCTATTTAGATCAGGCATTTCCTTTGGCTTAAAAGGCATAGTAAAACATTGTAGCATATTTCAAGTTAATTTCTAGCAGACTGTTGACCTCAGTTTGTTTTGCATACTGGGTTATGTGCTACACTGAAAAAAAAAAAAAAGAAGAAAAAACAGCCAAAAGCTGTGATTCACAATCTGCAAGATCAGGATGGCAGAAGGCTTTATCTGATGAGCACAGTTTCAATCTGGATTGATTTGTGCACACAATAGGACTGTTCATGACAGGTTTATGCATTAAGCCATGATGCCCACTGTGTGATGCCCCACAGTTGCTGACCTGACCGACAGCCTGTTGGGGAAAAGCTCTCCTACTAAAATTTGTGAGCAGATATGAAGCAGATTTGTGTTTGTTCTGTGTTTCGCATTCTGGACTTGTGACATTTCTGATGAAGTGTTGTAAGTCCTTGTCTGCGAGTTCATCCTCTGGTAGATCCCTGGCCTTGATGATGCAGCATGGATGCAAAGGGCAGCCTTATCCTGAGGCTTAAATTACCACAGGAGTTCTTGTCTTCGGCCTGAGGTTTCCTGTCTTCAGTATTATATGCAAATCTCTACTACAGCCTACTACAGCAAGCATAAATCCTACACTGTTTTTTAGATAAGGTCCTTCCCTGCCCTTCAGTGTAATGGTGCTTATGTTACAGCAAGTAAGGACACTCTGAATCAAGTCCTACAAATGTAAAATGTTGGTAATAAATATAAGTCTTCTTACCTCTGCACATTTCTTATTGCACTTTTTTTTTCTTTTAATTGGGCTTGATTTTTTTTTCTGAAAGTATAGTTGCTATTTTAAAGATGCAGAAATATGTTTACAGGCTTCAAAATGCTTGAGCAGACCTGAAAATATTCCCTAAACAGAAAGTAAAGGCTTTCATTTTTGAATCTGTTTTTGTCCCTTGGACCTGACCTCTCTATTATCTCTATTTTGCTTTCATTAGGTCTTTTATCTCATATCTCCATCCTCAAACCAGAAGGTGATGGAAGCCTGAGACGTTTTCTGAAGGCTAGCTGGACTTATCTATTAATGCAGGGTGCCAGGCATCTTTGGGAAACTAATAGCAAACTATTTTGTACTTCCAACTCTTTGTGTTGAACACAGTACCTGTGTCTCCCTTGTCGCCTTTTGAGCCATCACGTCCGTCACGACCAGGTATGCCATTGTGCCCAGGATTGCCAGGAATGCCAGGATATGCTTGGGTACAGATATCCTGCTTTTGTGCTTCTTCTGTGCTGACTGCAATAGCCAGCAGTATAATCCAGCTTTTCATTCTTTAGAAAGGTTAAATGATCTTGGCTGAAAGATGTAAGAAAGGAAGAGTACATTTACTTAGGTCTGTGTGATTGGTTTTTTTCTCACATTTAGTTTGTGAGCCCAAAACAGTGTTGGGGAGGGAGGAAAAAGAAATGGGCTTTTCAACATATCTATTGTTTTGTTTTGTTTTATTTACAGGTCTCTATATAGCAGTAAATACCATCCTTGACACTACTGGGCTTTATTTCCAATAATAATTGAATGGGAATATCAGACATACCTTTGTCGTGTGGGTTCTGTCTCGTGTTTTCTAATACAGTGTGACCAGTGGAAGTAACTCTGCAAGGACTGTCCGTAGAGATACTGATGCAGGTAGATGGTGAGCAGCTGAAAATCACCAAAGCTCTGGGGAAGCTAAGGGCTACCCCTCATGTCCTCGGGATCTAGCCAGCAACCAACAGCTCAATACCTCCCATTGAGTTTCCCACTGTTCTGTTTAAACCATCAGAGTACTGACAAAGCATAGATTTTGTGAATATGGTTGATCTTAAACTGTATTTCAAGATCATAATAAAAAAGCAGAATTGATCATCACACTTCCAGTGATTTGATTTACTCTGACCAACAAAATTCCAATGTCTGGCAAGTCCACAAGGAAATGTGCTGTAGTTGCTGTCCTAAGGCCTAGGGCACAGGCAAGATTTCAAGCCCTGGGGGGTTGATTCAAGTAAGAGTAGTGACCCTACACTCATACACAAGGATTCATACAACGTCCTGTTCCTTTAAGCTGCTGTTCAGCTTATATATAACACACAGGCACTCTTTGTCATAATTTCTTCATTCCCCTAGCCAGAGCAGCACTCACACAGGAGCTGCTTCATGGCTGCTGCTGCCTGACAGAAGCCTGTCTACAGCTTCGAGCTCACTCCTTCCATTCTGAAAGACTTGATAAAAACAGTACCCTATGCGTTTGAAGTCAACATACCCCTTCTCTCGGGGCTCCAGATCAGATAATGTTGGCCATTAATAACCCAGTATTTATCTAACAGCTTCTTAAGGGAAAAATAATATAACTGAGCCAGTCAGGCAGTTTGCAACTTCTCCATCTACATTTCTTCATGACTCCTCATGGCTACAAGTTTGTACCTCTCGTCTCCCATGAGCTGCCTGCAGGAGGTGAGCTGAGGTGATTCAATCCCTTAACTTGGCACAAAACAATAGCATTTGTTGCTGTTGTTGTTTCTTCTCTTTTATCACAGTTAGTCTTTTTCTGGGTTAATAAGTTGAGTGACCTCACAAAGGGTCAGAGCTGAAGCAGAGTGAGATGAGGACAAAGATGTGAGGAATCAAATAAGAATTTTTTTGCAAAAGCAGATCTTTAGTCTAGTTCTCCCCCTCTCATTTAACTGTGCTTCATAAAATCCAGCTTATTTTCACACTTTCATTAGGGAGCCCTTGCTGTTTTATGGCTTTGAAGAGAGGTCCACTGAACAGGAATTGGACTTGCCAATTACTCTTTATAAGAGTAATCAGTGGGAAGATGTTAAAAAGAGGGACAAAAATGAAATAGCAACAAAATTAATTGCAAAAATTAGTTGTAATAAAATTAGTATTTTATTTGATGCTATTATCTTTAAATAACAAATGCACAGAAGCTTAGCCTATGGAGGTTAATGGTAGTCAGAATAAGTACATTTTATGTAATTGACTTAAAATTATTTCTTTCATGAATAAGAAGTAAGGCTAAGATCAGTTTCCTTTTGAAATACTAACTAGGATTGTGACATTTCAAGTGACCATGTCAGAGAGACACCAGTATATATTCTCATTAACAACAATTGCACCTTGGTAGGAATATTCAATGTAAACATTCATTCAGTTTATAGGGTAGGATAGCCCCACATTTCTAACACATCCTTTAATATTTCCTCCTGTTTTCCAAAATATTCCCAGTTTTTCAGCAGTTATGTAAATGTTGTTGGCGGTGCCTTTGCCAGCAGCATACAAAGGGGTGTTTGGTCACACACCAGCAAAATCTCTCTTCATCTGCTGCTGGTTTGTACCAAAGGGAGTTGAAAATACATCAAACTTTTGCTATTTCCGAACTATAAACATTTGCTGCCTTAGTCAAAGAAGTCTACAGCAAAGTGAAAGGAAGAAGTGCTGTATGGGATGCTGTTAATATATGAATTACCCCATGGGGAAGTCTGACAGTCCTTGTCCTCCCACAGAAAATTCCATTCCCAGTTGTTCAAGGTATTCTTTTGTGCCTAAGCATTTCATCCCCTTACACGCACTTCTCAGCACACAACAGCAATATCATCATCATCAGCAGCAGTGTATATATCGTATCTTTGCTCTTACCTCATTCACTTTGTACTTGCAATGTTCTTGGGCATCTTTCGGTATTACATAAAAGCTTCCCGTAAGGGAATGCAGGCTCCAGATATGTGCCTTGAGGACAAGCACTTGTTTGGTCACTGAATTCTCAAAGGTCAGTGATTTCATTTTGAGAGCTGTTCAATAATTAAAACAGAGCTAAACTGGAATCTCTCTGTTAATTCCAATAGTAAGCTGAAGTGCTCTGTACTTCAGCTTTTGCCACGGTTATGTGAAATAAAATTGTTAGGATGAATCAGTAAAGCTTTGATATGCCTGTTCCATTATACAAATGTGTTATTTAAGTTTGTAGGACAGAACGCAGGTCCCATGGCGTTATTTTAGCAAAGGAAACTTACAAAGGTCAGTTAGCAGTTTATGATGGAAGTGGGGACAAAAAGAATATAGAAATTACAACAAAATTAGAACTGTGAATGTGACATCACCAATGTTAGGTGATTATGGAAAAGAAGTAACAGGGCTGAGTTAAGTAAAGAAATTGAATGGCAAAGAGCTTTTCACGTGTAGTTAGCAAGCTCTCCATTGCTGTTTGAAGGGTCGGTCATAGTTACAGCACCTCTGAGTTTATGACCCAAATTTGAAGAAGCCATAACTTGATGCTTCGGTGCATCTTATTGACATTACTGAAACTGCTGCTCTCCGAGGCCTAGCAGGAAAGCAACTCAGTATATCATCAGCTCCACAAATGCTGATCATGAACAGTGAAGGGTGAAAACCATTAGTAAAAGGAGTTAAATGATATAAGAAGTGGCCTCAGTTCACCCTGGTTGTGCAAGTGATTGAAAACCTTGTGTCCGGGGTGGTTCCCGCACTGCTAACAGCTGACAAACCCGGTCTGTCCATTGAACAACCTTTTAAAAAAGCCAGAGCACAGCTGAGCAGTGAATGGTTTTCACTAAGATCTTCACCCCCACCCCGTGGTAATAAAAAATATTACAAGCTTTATGGTGAGAAAAGGTGCATTGTGCAGCAATTAGCTGCTCTCCTTGAATCATAGAATCATTGAATCACCAAGGTTGGAAAAGACCTACAAGATCATCCAGCCCAAGCATCCACCTACCCTATAGTTCTCACTAAATCGTATTCCTCAGCACAACATCTGAATGTTCCCCTAACACCTCCCTGGCAGCCTATTCCAGCCTGACCACTCTACTGGAGAAGCAGTATTTCCTAATGTTCAACCTGAATCTCCCGTGGTACAACTTGAAGCTGTTCCCTCTAGTCCTATCACTGCTTGCATGAGAGAAGAGGCTGACTCCCACCTTCCTACAACCTCCCTACCGGCAGTTGTAGAGAGCAGTATGGTCTCCACTAAGCCTCCTCTTCTCCAGACTGAACAATCCCACCTCTGCAGCCAAATTAACCTATTTGCTATGCTAATGTGAAGAAATGAGAGCCACTACAAACAATGCCTTTCTCTTTACCCCTCAGACCAGCACTATTAATCCAATTTGATGCCTTTTTGTTGGTTTTATTGAACGCAGAACCAAGAAGGACAAACGTTTCCATCAGCTGTTTTGTAGCATTCCTTGTCACAGAAAAGATGGCTCGGAAGTAGTTGTGCAGAAGCAAAAGGTCATCATTCGTTCTTATCAATGCTGCACCTGAGTGGCAGGAAATGCATATATGGTTTTTTTAGATTGATTAGTTTGATAATTACCTTTGTTAGGGCTGAACATGACAGTAGCGATCATGGGATATATAGTTATTATATATCCAACTGTATGACTGGGTATCTCCAAAGTCATAAAACGAAAAGCTTCACCTGATAGATCAGCTCTTGAAGAACTTAAAAGACAGTGCTAAGCAACTCCCTACGGAATTGGGCCTGAATGTCAAAACATTAAATAAAGTGCACAAATGAGGTCACCATGGCCAGATTTCAGTTGTTAGAGACTTCTGAGGGACATCCTCTTCAGGAAGCCTACTGACCATGACATTGTACTCCATGGTTTGCAGAAAGTATGTTTCTCAGCCATCCACAGCCTCACTCTGTGCTCACATTATGTATTTTGCTTCGATCCCTGAGCATTCAAAACAAACCTTGTCCAGCAGTGGCACTTGGAGGCCTGGAAATTGCCAGCTCTGAAGTGAACCAAGAACTAGATATAAAAGATTGAACATTGAAAGGAAAGGGATAAGTCAGCAAGCCCAACTAATTTGCTATCTTCTGAGTTCAGCAAAACGTTTTTCATGAAAAGATTTCAGGAAATCAGATTATTTTGTCAAAGCTATTGTGTCTCGGTGAAACCATTTTTTAACATGGCCTTGAGCAGGAAGGACACGTGCATGCCATTCAGATGTGGTCCCTTGCTGCGTCACAATGATGAGATACAAAAGACTTTTCTCCACTAGCCAGGGCAGCAAGCTGAACCACACGCATTTACACAGCACGCCCTTTGGGTGAATCCTTTTCCTGGGATTTGGGTATTTTCCAAAGAAAACAGAACATAAACCTCCTCACCTAAACCACAGAACTTAAATCACCATCCTCTGTTTGCTACAGTTTTATTAATAGAGCAGCTGCATTTGCACTTACTTCCAAGGGTACTGGAGAACAGACTGCTAGGACAAGGTAAAGTACAATGACAGTGGATGCATATATCTGGGGTCTTAATAAGGATGGTTTCTGAATGAACAAAGAAGAGTTCAGCCCCACAACTGGGTTCAGCAGTCTGCTAAAATGAATTCGTACTGGGAAGTACTGAAGTTGTTACTAGAAACCAACAGAAGATGGTGTGATATGTTTTTTCCTTTAAAATAATAAAGTAAATGGGACAGCTGAAAAACGCTTGCTACACAGAAGAGATTTTGTAGCCAGTGTAAGAAGTCCAGCACTTCTAAAACTGTACAATAAAATTTTATAAGACACAGCTGAAGAACTTCAGCTGTACATTATTTAATTAAAACACGTACAACGAGAGGAAAACAATGGGAATGGAAGTTTGTACTTATTTCCAGAAAATAGATTCATTTGACAACGTTCCAAGAGTAAACAAACATTGTAATGCAATTACTTCAGAACAAATACACATGAAGACACTGCAGTCCTATACATTGTGTTTCAGCCGTCAACAGCCAACTCATCTGCTCTGTAGCCAAGACGCTTGATTTACAGCACATGTAACAGCACACAGATGGTGAGATGCACAAAGTAAGATAAAATGTTACAAAACACTTGTCAAAATAAAATACACACGCAAGTTCATCCCTAGTATTTACAACAAATAGTTTTAAATTAGAGATCGTTCAGAAGGCATCTCCTACACACTGATGCCACATATAGAAAAAAAGCAGAAAGGCGGTCGAGGAAAGGTACTGTGTTAGTTATGGCTAAAGACCTTTGGCTCCAAAACTCTGCTCCAATTATTTTCAAAAGACAGCTAAAACGCAGAACATTTAAGCAGTCTGTCTTTGAACTCCTTCACTACACCGACCACTAAAACTCAATGTGAAATTTAGCATGGCAAGAGCCACTTGTAAAACAATCGTATTATTTTATACATCAAATGCTCCCAGTTAGATGCAATTATGGTTTGGCATTATCCTAACTCAGTGGGAACACATTTGAAGACAATTACATTTTACTGCATCTCATGCAAAAAGTCTGAGGTTGTCTGCTCAGCAGGCCATCAGGAAGGCTCTGGCTGTGCTTTAGCTAAATGAGGCACAAGTATGCTTAGTAGTTGCCCTAGAACATTTGACAGTAACTTATAGCAAACAAAAGTGAGTGGAAAAGAGCTTTCTGAAGGTAAGTTTTGTCATCAGGAAAGTCAAGACTTTCATGTTCTGCTAAAGGACAGAGATGCTAGAGCTGAAAATTTTACATTTTATTAGCAGCTCTTTTCCCCACAGACTCTGAAATCAGACTGATCCCCGAGTAAACATTCGCCTTACTTGTTGGATAATGTAATCGTGTTTTTGTTTAACCGTAATTCATTTAAAAGATTATGGTGTAGTTCAAATTTGGCCTGCCTCCTTACATTTTATCAGTCTTGCTGTATAGCCAGCACATTCTTTGACCGACAAATATATAACCCAATAAAGTACAGTGTTGGTAGCCTCTTCAGCTATTGAAGATTGCAAAGAAAGACACAGAGGACATTATAAAACACATCTACAAGTAGGGCACTATATATAAAACTGTCCTGAGTAATTTGCACCATGAAACGTTTTCTCTTTTTGAAAGTTCTCTTAAGGGAAAAAAACAAAACACAACAAAACAACCTGCTGCATCCAAAACCACATACAAACATTTCTGTTCATTGTTAGGGCTAAGGCACCAGCACTACTACATGGGAGGAGCCTTTATGGGCACTGATGTGACAGAAGATACATCCCAAAATCTTTTCATCAAAGACAAAATTGTGAATCTAACTCTCACAATGTCTCCAGGTCACTCTGGGAAAGTTTCTGCATCTGAACTGCAATCCAACTTCAGATGTGTTTGCATCTGGAACAATTCTTTCAAAATGTGGATACGAAATATCTCCGCTTCCATGATATGTGCACTGCTTTGGTTTGCAGGCCTGAACACGGGATGTACCCGTGAAAATGAGTACGTAAGAAGCAGAGAAGGGTTGCTCAGTTATGTGGAAGGGCATGCATCTACACTGGCATTTGGAAGTCAGTTCATCAGTTTAAATTGAGCATGCCAAATTATCTCTTAGACAGCTTGTTTTAAACACGAGAACTGAACCCAGCCAGCTTTTGTCACCGTCCTTCTTGTGCGCTGTCTTTAAGCTGGGCTGTTGAAAATGTCAGTGCATATTTCCAGTTCCTAACTGTTTCAGGTCATCTTCTATCACTACAGAAAAGCACAAGCAATGAAGTTCACTATGGAGTGAACAATTTGGCTGAGCATCACCAGACTTTGCATTATTGCTGAGCTATATACACAAGGCATTTGAAATGTACAGTCGTCACAGATGTCATTTAAAATCAAAACTACAAACCTGCACTTTGCAGAAGTTGCAGAAAGTTACCAAATCATAAAACCATCAGAGTAGTGGGATTCAACACTGATGATAAGTAGAAAGTTAGAGGTAAGAATAGCAGTAGGAACAAATACATGTTTAAAATAAGGCTTTTTTTACATTGTTATTAAGATGCCTGGCTTCTAGCCCATTGTTTGTTCTTCATATATTACAGATTCATTACAAAGGTGATTGCATCCACTGTCAAAGAATACTCTTGGATCTACACTTATCATTTGATAATGCCCCTAATCAGCAGCATATGATAAAGTATTTGAAAGACATTCATAACAAATCAGTTCTGAAACATAAGGAGTCCTCTTTTCCTTCCATATTACCAATAGTCTTGCCATTCTTTGTGAGTTAGTGAGTAGAAATGATCAGTGCTGCAAATAGTGAGATCCTGTTTCTTCTTGGTGGCACTTAGAAGTTGTTCTTCCAGATCAACTCACAGCAATGCAGGTCACATCCTGTGGATGTGACCAGAGCTGACTTTTCTCCAGCCAGATCCTTCCCCTTCCAGCACAGGCCAATGACTCTGAGACAGAAATCCATCTTTGATCCACATAATTATTCTGTCCCTTCCAGTAGGACTTCTCTTTCTTTGTGAAGAAATCTGGTCACAACTCATTGTTGATTTCCAGTATAGAAGAAGCATGGATCCAGACTGTTCTGAGAACTTAATGGAGACATTTCCACTACCATTCATCCATTTTCTAAGTGAAGCTACATGAGTACAAAGTGTGTGGGCTAAGTAGCATAGCCATCAGTCAGCAGTCAGCTCGTACTGTCTCACCTCTGACATTGTACATTCACATTATCTCCATTAAAAAAAAAAAAACAAACTTTTTTCACAGAGAAATAAGCATACTGGGAATATAAAGAAGCGTCTCCCAGGCTAAGAAGTGCACAAGAAGTGATATAAAAGCTCTATACTGAAGAGTATACATGCAAGCAGTATATTGCTCTGACTGAAAGAAATCAGAGATGCCCTGGGCGCCTCTTGTATCCACTTGTATGCAATAAATGCACACATCTTTGTAGTCCATTTTGCACTCTCTTCATGTTTCTATATGACAGAATAAAACTCCCCTGTTCCAATCTGGAATATGGTAAGGCCCTGTGAGACATTCTCCTGCCACTTGGCAATTTAATAGAAAAAGACAGGAAGGATTAGGCATGTTATCCACCTGATTTTAATGGGCAGCTCTGCTTGGTTCTCCAAAAGGAGAAAACTCCCCCAAGATTCCTTGCTCACATACCCTTAAGGAAAAATCCCTCCCTGTACTAAATTTGGCCATCAGCGTAA